GAGCGGGCGGTACAACCTCCGTGCGCCGAGCGAGGCGCCCTCCGAGCCCGCGATTCCCGAGGACGAGGCGCTCGTGCCCGTGCCAAAGCCCCGGTCACGCCGTGTCGTCAAGCCCGCCGCGCCGCCGAAGCGCTCCACGCGCGCTTCCGCCGCGCATTCCCGGTGCCTTCGAGCCCGAGCCGAAGAAGACCACCAAGGCAAAGTCCGCGAAGAAGGCGACGGTGACCAAGACGACAAAGGCGAAGACGAGCAAGGCCGCCGCCGCGAAGGACGCGGACGAGAAGGAAAGCAAGGAGGACAAGGAGATGGCGTCCGCCCGCCGGTCCGCTGCCAAGGCTGCCTTAGATGATCCCGAGGACAAGGGCGCGACGCGGGGCAAGGCGAGGCCGAAGCGGACGACGCGCGCGCAGAGCGTCGCTTCCTCCGTCGCTGACGAGGACGAGGAGGCTACCCCGCGCCGGACCCGCCGCACGGCCGCCAGCGAGCGCGGAAGCCCCACGCCTAGCGTCGCTAGCTCGACTGCTAGCCCGACCAGGCGCCGGACAAGGGCGGCGGCCCCCACCACCCGAGTTACCCGGTCGCGCAAGTAGACTAGCTCGCTACACCCCGCACTCTAGCGCCCCTCTCTGACTTTCCGGGAATGGCGGCACTGGGAGCCGGGAGGAAGCGGGGTTTGTACGAACAATGATGACGGAAAGATGGTTGGGAGATGTAATTTTTGCATAAATAATCGTAGCGTCCTCTAAAGAGTTACAGCACATCTCGAATGCATGTTAGAGGGTATGGGAAGCTTAAACACGAGGAGCTACGGTCGGTGTAGCAGGCTAGATTAAATCTGCATGTCAGTTACGGGTCGGGTCAATGAAACTCACGTATTGAGAGAGCCAGCGGAAGCCCTCGCCGTAGCCCTGGCGCATGACGACGGAGCACATGAAGACCTCGATGGGGCGGATGTCCCGGAGAGGGACCTTGCCCTTACCCGTGGTCTGGTAGAGGCCGAGCTGGTGGCGGAGCTCCTCCTCCGAGACGGCGCCGGGGGCGTCGATCTTGTTGCCGAGGATAAGGAAGGGAACGTTGGCGAGCTGCTCGATCGAGACTGGGGAAGCGTCAGCGTCATGACCAGATCGCGCACGTCATGTGGCCGTGTGTACAGCCGTTTCGGTTCGGAAGGACGGAATGTCCAGGGCTGGGCGTGCACAGACGCCAGATAAGAGACAAACGGCGGATTTTGGGTCACAAGCCCGTCTCTCTCCTGGGCTGCTGCGGTCAAACTCACGAAGCGAGTCGAGCTCGGCCTTGCTCTCAGGGAAGCGCTCAACGTCGGCGGCGTCGACGAGGAAGACAATGCCGTCAACCTCGGGGAAGTACTCGCGCCACAGGCGACGGGCCTGCATGTGTCCACCGAGGTCGTAGGTGGTGAAGCGAACGTTGCCGATAGCGAGCTCCTCCGAGGTGGGGTGAAGGGTCGGCTGGAGGGTGGCGAGACGGTCATTCTTGAGCATGTGAAGGAGGGTCTGGCTGCGTCAGCTTGCATGTGTGCGATCACTTGAGGCGCAGCATAGATCTTGGGGATGTATCTCGGGTATCTGCGCGGCGCAGCGGACCGGGAGAAGCAAGACGCAAGTTGTCACGAGCGAGCTGATCGATGCGTGTGACGTGTTCCGGGCGCCGAGTGGCGAAGGCTGCTGCATGCAAGAGACAATGACACTCACAGTCTTTCCGGCGTTGTCGAGGCCGAGGAACAGGAGCTTGGCGTCTGGTCGCGGTCAGTGTCTGCAAGCGTGGTGCGATGGATCCGATCTGCGACATCAGATACGATACGCACTCTTGTTCATGAGGCCTGCGGAGGTCAGCTAGAGCAGGGAGATCAAAGAGCTACTCACCGAGCTGGGCCAGGACATCCCAGAACCAGTTCTGTTGTTAGCAGCGCTCAGCATCAGGTCGGTGGAGGCAGGACAATGTGCGGCAGCGTTGTGCGCGTCGGGCGGGAAGTCGGGGCTGATTTCGCGCGCTGCGGGTGCTTTCCAACGCTGCCGCGTCCATCACCGGCAAGCAAGGCGGCGAACGCACAAGGATGAACATGATTGCTGCTTGGCGGAGTCGTGGAAAAGGGCGTGAAGGGGTTGGAACTGAAGGTCGTGATGGAAAAAGCGGAAGGATGGAGGAGGGAAGAGAAAGAAATGTCGAGCGAGCGAGCGAGTGCCAGTGCCAGCGGAACCAGGGAAGGACATGATGCGCGCGCAGTGGGTTGTACGCTGCAACTGCGCCGCGCCCAGGAGCCCGCCCGCCCCGGCCACCCCCTACCGCACGCACTGCGTCCGGCCTAGCCAGCGAGCGAGCGCACCAGGTACGGCGCGGGCAGCTATCGTGGCAAGGGATCGTCGAGGGACTCACCGTGGGAGACTTTTGGGTCGACTCTCTCCACGTGGAGCCTTTGCTTCCGAGTGGTCACTGCCGAACGTATCTGTGGCGATTGGTGGCCCATCGCCGGGGCGTGCCGAGCTTGTGGAGTCCCCGCGGCAATCCCTATGGAGAAGTTGACTCGGACGCTGTCTGACATCGAGTCTTCCCTCTCTGTCCTTCCTCCTTCCTCGTCATCTGCATCGCTCAGGTGCCATCTGCATCGCTCAGGTGCAGCACTTAGATCACCCTAGACTTACACTATACACCAACGCTAATCATGTCTCTCCCCGAGGGCTCCACACCCGTCTGCGTCTTGTAAGCTAAGGTGTCGGATCGTAGCTGACGACAGCTGCGCCTCGTCCCCCGGTGACAGCGCCGTGTACTCGACCGCCGCCGCCAGCGTCGGTACCGCCCTCGCAAAGAACGGCTACCCGCTAGTCTATGGTGGTGGCCGCCGTGGTCTGATGGGTAGGTTCTTACATCTAGCTTACCTGGGGACTGTGAGCTGACATGCAGGCGTCGTCTCGTCCTCTGCCCTCGAGGCCGGCGGCCGCGTCCACGGCATCCTTCCCCGCGCGCTCATGGCCAGGGCAAGCGAGCACACCCCGACCCCCTCTCGCGATCCGTCTTCTCAGCCTCAGCCCGCCGTCTCCGCCGAGGGTGTCGGCAAGGACCTCCTGGCGGACACGCACGGCGGTCTGCTCTCCATGGAGGTAGTCGGGAGCATGCACGAGCGCAAGGCGAAGATGGCCTCTCTGTCGACGGGCGGCTTCGTCGTCCTGCCCGGAGGCTATGGGACATTCGAGGAGCTGCTCGAGATGGTGACCTGGAACCAGATCGGGATGCACTCTTTGCCCGTCGTCGTGCTCAACGTCAAGAACTTCTACACGCCCCTCCGCGCGCTGCTCGAGGGCGGCGCCGAGTCCGGATTCATCAAGAAGGAGAACCTCAGCCTGCTCAGGATCGTCGACCTTCCCGGGGGAGCGGAGGCGAATGCGGACGAGGCCAAGGCCGAGGAGTGGGGAGAGGCGGCCATCCGGGCGCTCAAGGAGTGGCACATCCCGGTGAGTCGAACGGGCCAGGAAGTTAACGGGCATGCAGCAGAGTAGCTGACAGCAGACCGGCGCCGGCTACGGCTTCAAGTGGGACGACGTGAAGGCCTCTGACCTTGGCCTGAAGCCCAATGGGGCTAACGGCGCGAACGGCAACGGAACTCAGGCGAGCATCTAATCCCTCATTCTTAATATGCATAATTGACACCCGGTACAGTCCACCGTCGCGAGCACACCGAGCAACACCGACGTGTCCCTCTTCACAACAGGACGATACACCTACGTCCCCGCCCGGCCGCTGACGGAGAATGCGGTGCCGCTGTGGAGCTACCATGTGCGCAGGCTACGCACGGCGCACGCCCACTTTGCGGCGCGGGACAGGAGTTGGGGCACGTACCCCGGCGACGCGGCTGTGTGGGCTGCCGTGAAGGCGGCTCTGGAGCCATTGCAGCCGAGCAACGGGGCGGACTGGCGCGTGCGTATCGTCATGTCCCGTCCCACCTCTGGGGACGTCGCCACCGTCCGTGTCGAGACGCCCCAGGCTGCCCTGCCCCCCTTCACACTGCGCATCAATGATGACCTGTTCAAGCGCAAGTTCTGGGTCGACACTTTGCCCACCCCGGCGCCGGAGAGAGATCAGGTGGATCTGAGGCGGTACAAGACGACAAGGAGGGAGGTGTATGAGGCCGCTCAGGCGCGCTTTGCCGATAAGGAGGCACATGCTGAGGTTCTCCTTTGGAATGAGAGCGGGGAGGCGCTCGAGGGGACGACGAGCAATTTTGCTATCCTCTCGCCGAATGGGTGGGTGACGCCCAAGAGCCGCGACATTCTGCCAGGCACGGCGCGCGCTGCTTTGTTGGATGCTGGGGAGATTACGGAGGTGGACCGGATCTCGGTGGACGAGGTGAAGCAAGCAGAGAGGGTGGTCTGTTTCAATGGCCTTCGGGGCGTGTGGCAGGCGGAGGTGGTGTAGATGTACAATATGCATTGCGTCGTGACTTTCATGCTACCGTGCTACTGTGTGATACACCTTGCTTCGTGCCGGCGCTTCCTGCGCCAAGGCCCCGCTACGTTCTGGCCCTTCGTGTACCGGATCATCTCTCGCCGCGCACCGGGCTCGTCGGGCTCGATGTCCATTCTCCCCGCTCATCCCCAAGCGTCATCTCTAACCCTAACGTTCGCTTCTGCGGGCTGCTGGTGGGCGAGACAACACTGCTGCCCGTCGCGCTGTGCGTCTGCGCACTTTGGTACCCCGGGCTGTGGTAATGGGGGTCCGTATGACTCCTCCTGTGGTGGTTTCCGAGGAGCGGGCGGCGCTCGCCGTCCTCTGGGTGTCGGGAGCGCGAACGGCCGAAGCTCGCGTACGTCCTTGAGCGGCGCGGCGGCCGGACATGCGGCTCCTTCGGCTTGTTCTTGCCATAGATGAGCGACTGGATCATGATCGTCAGGTCGAAGACGAGCGTGCCGCCCGAGCCGAGGAGGTACGGCAGCGCACGGAAGAGATAGTGGATCTGCTCATCGGGCTTGACGGGCGCGACAAGGATGGACAGGACGTAGAAGACGTTACCGCAGAACGCCATCAGGAATAGCAGCATTGACAGTCCTTCAACACTCCTTCGTTGGAACTGGGGTTAGCTAAGGCGCGGCCACGCTAGCTTACGTTCTTCCAGATCTGCGGCAGCCGGCTCGTCAGATACATCGTCGTGCAAGTCCAGGCGCTTACGCGACCGATTAACTCGCGGATGTTGATGGGCTCGGGTTTGTGAGGGCCACCGGGCTTGTCGTCATCGTCATCATCGTCGTGGCCGCCGCCCGGGTGCGAGCTGTTCGCGAACGTGACGACAGTCGTCGGTGCGTCGTAAAGGCTGGGCAGCGGTGCCGGATACTTCGGCTGCCACCACGGGTGGCTCGTCATCTCCGCCTCGCTCGCGATCGGCACAACGTGACCGCCGGCAGTCGATCCCGCTTCTCCTCCCGTCGACGTCGCACGCATGAATATGAACCCGAGTCCCATGAAGGCGACGCCGGCGGCTCGTCGTCCAGTGCCATGGGCGCGGACCGATTGACTGCGCGAGTGGTGCCGCTTTGGTCGTCGAAGCTCCGGAAGCTGGGACTCGAGCGTGTCGGGAGTCTGGGAGCCGGACGCGATATCCGATATTCTTGTGAGCGATCGCCCTCGATCGTCGTTGGAAAGCCAGCTCGAGCTCCGCGGCGGCCGAGGTGGTAAGACGAGGCTCTGCGTCATACGATGGTGGTGGGTTCTTGTCTCATCATCCTCGTCTTCCGAGTACTGCGACGAGCTGACGCTTCCGCGGATGTGCTCCGTGCTACTCGACGCATCTGGCGGGGGCGTGTGGTGGTGTCGTGGCCGTCCTCGACCGGAGCCACCCCGCCGACTGATCCGTTCGGCGGCGCGCGCCACGTCCAGTGCCGCAGCGTACATCGCCTCCGCACTGTCAACGGGCGGGGCGCATGGCGCAGTGCGCGCGTGGCCCTTGCCTGATCCACCTCGTCGCGGAAGGATCGGCGAGTGGTGTTCCGAGTACGACGATGTTCTTCGCGGAAGGATCAGCGACGTTCGCGGGCTTGCAGTCATCGACTCGGGTTGCGGCGGAGGCTTCGTCCTCGGCGCATAATAGAAGTACTGCCCCACAAGGGTCACGTCGACGAACACAAAGTAGGTTGCGAGGTACGTCTGAGGAAGGCGTTAGTGTCTGACGTAGCGTCACGATAAGTGTTTGTTTGCAGATAGCCTTATCGCGGCGCGCACTAAAGACGGATCTGTCTGCACTGCCGAACCACCGGCTCCGCTAGTTTGCCACTGCGCGTTGTCCAACTTACCTGGAATGGCAGCTGGTCCGTCAGAACGCATCCGATAAGGTTGGTGACGTCTCCTGCGGAGTTGTTAGCAGCATGCAGAGATGTTGTAACGCACCAGCGAGCCAGTTGATCAAGAAAGGGAGCGAGAGACCGTCGCAGCTCTGCAGTTGCCAGTTCTTTACGACCTGCCTGAGGTTGGTGTCAGCTCGTTGCTCAGTGTCGGTCATCGTCCGAGCTCTTCTGGGGTTCTGGGGAAGGCGACGGCCTCGTCCGATAAGGTCCCAAGTGTGATCGAAGCGCCAGGGGAAGGGAGGACTTACGGGAACTGTGCGAGGAGCCAGCAGGCTATGCTCGCATAGCCAAAGAGGCTCGCGAGCGTAGCTCTGTCGATCATGTAAGTTGGGTAATGTTGATGGTGGAGAGGAGTGCGATATCAAGATGGGGCAAGGACGGTGGTCAAATGCTCGGCAAACACGAGACTAAGGAATGGCCACTGGCTGGGCTGGGCTGCTCTGGCTTTGGCTGGAGTGATCGGCGGTCACTTGAGCACAGGCTCAGACTCACGGCTATCGTTACGGTCACTGCGAGCGGGATCAATCTGGTTAAGGAACCAATTAGGAATGCTGGATTAATGCCTGATTACCGTTCCGGTATAGTCACCGGCGTCGGCGCCGAGGGTGCGCCACCAGGCTCGGTGGTGTCGTGCTCGCGTGGCCCATACGTCGTATAAACTTAGTGCTCACGCAAGATCCGGATATGCCCACTTGCTCTCATTCGTCGTATCGGCCCGCCGTCCGCAATCACGGCCCCAGCCTCCTCATTGTTCAGCTGCTTCTCGAGTGCCTATTCTTGTCTTTAAATACGACTGCCCCAAACTTCTCTTCGTTCTCGACTGTATCACCAATCTTGGACTGCTCGTCTCAGCTCGGTCGATCCGGCTCCGACGCCCCCACTCGACCTCCACTTCTCGGCATCAGTAATCTCGGACTCCGCCACTCTACGTCTAATCTGATCTGATCCAACGACAGCAATGAGCGAGCGCTCACCTCTCCTGGCCGCAGGCAAGGGCGCCAACGGCGTTAACGGTCATGCGCACCGAGAGCCGCCGCGCGAGTACGACAGCATTATCCCTCCGATCCCGCACCACTGCCGGGCGTCCGAGGAGAGCCAACGGCGGCATCACAACCTCGCCGGTCTCTCAGCATGGCGGTTCCGGCTGACATGCCTGGCGCTGTGGAGTGCGACGTTCCTCTCTGCGTTCGACAGCACGGTCATTGCTACGCTACTGGCGGACATCGGCTCCTCGTTCGGGGCGTTCCACCTTGCCTCGTGGCTCGGCACGGCTTACCTCCTCAGTCTTTGCTGCTTCACACCAATCTACGGCAGGCTCTCGGACACGCTCGGCCGCAAGAACACACAGCTTATTGCTGTGGGCGTGTTCACGCTGGGAACGGCGCTGTGCGCAGTCGCAAAGGACATGTACCAGCTTATTGGCTTCCGCGTCCTCGCCGGTCTCGGCGGAGGAGGCCTTACGTCCGTCGGCAGCATCCTCCTGTCCGATCTCGTCGATTTACGGCATAGAGGACTCTATCAAGGCTACGCAAATTTGCTATATGTAAGCATCGAGAGCGTTGGGGATGCGTAGGAGAGGCTCGAGGATGGTCGAGTTTGGAGAAGTTTCGACGTCAGAGGTCCGTTGGTGGAGCTGACATACAGGGACTCGGCGCGGCACTGGGCGGCCCGGTAGGCGGCTGGATGGCGGACCGCTGGGGCTGGCGCTTCGCGTTCAGCGCGCAGGTACCCCTGCTGCTCGGCTCGCTCGTGCTCATCACGCTGTTCGTACCCGGAAACGTGGGACAGAGGGAGGAGGGTCCATGGCTGGCACTCTTGGCTCAGATCGACTACCTGGGCACTGCGCTCCTGGGTGTGAGCGTCGGCGCTCTTCTGCTCGGCGTCTCGCTCAAGACGGCGGCCACGAAGACGGACGGCAGCGAGTTTGGATGGACTGACCCGCTCATTCTGGGACTGCTGCTTGCGTTCGCCGTGTCGCTCGTCCTCTTCCTCTTTGTCGAGGGCAAGTATGCGGCCCAGCCGGTCCTGCCGCTCGGCATGATGGCGCGCCGCACGCCCTTCTTCGTTGGCCTCGCGAATCTCCTAATGGCCATGGCCGTCTTCAGTATGCTCTACAACGTGCCGCTGTGGTTCGTCGCCGTCAAGCTGCAGAGCTCGTCCAGCGCTGGCGTCCACCTGCTCCCGTACAGCGTGCTCATTGGGTTTGGCTCGCTCATGGTCGGATGGTACATGCGCCACGCAGGACGATACTGGGGCATCATGGTCTTCAGTGGATCGATCGTCTTTTCGAGCTGCCTCATGCTCCTCTCGTGGTGGGTTGGCAGCCCGGACTGGATTCTCTGGGTCGCCCAGTCGCCCGCCGGATTCGGATACGCCGGCGTTCTGACCAGCACGCTCGTCGCGCTCATGACCGACGTGCAGCGCGAGGGCAAGGGAGAAATGTAAGTTGGCGTACTTGTGCTCATTTACCAGGGGAAGAGCTGACCTCCAGTGCCGTCGCCACCACCATGACGTACATGTTCCGCACGATCGGCCAGGTTCTCGGCGTGTCCTTCAGCAGTGCGCTGCTTCAGGCCTCGCTGGACGGATACCTTGGTTCCTCGTCGCTGCCTGCCGATATCGCGGAGCTCGTACGCAAGAACACGGGCGCAATCCGCCACCTGCCCGCCGCTCAGCGCGATATCGCCATCAACGGGTATTCGTACTCGCTGCACCGTGTCTTCAACTTCAACGCCATCCTCGCTGGTCTCACTGTGCTCGCGCTGGCTGCGGTTGACAATGTCGACATGCCTGAGCGCCACGACGGCAGCGACGAGGACAGCGAGTGAGTATGCTCTGGTCGCAGAGTAGCGCTGGAGGGGAGAAAGGAGGAGCGGAAAATGACGAGTGAGTAGAGGAGAGACACGAGGACGCCTAGCATTCACTTTCAACCTTGCATTTCCAGCATCTCAGCACGCTTTTTGTCACATTACGCTTTTGTCTAATCCTATTCGCATGCACTTGGCAACTATTTTGCTTAAAACTGTCTGTCTGCGTCTACTTTCGACTTGTACGCTTCTTACGTCTCTACACGATCTACACTTTGTGCTCGCGCTTAGGGCGCGGGGACGACACGCCTGCTCTTCTCGGTGCGCGTGCGGATTTCCCAGGTGAGGGCGTACGTCTTGGCCGCGTCCTCGTACGAAGAGAGAATGTGCGGGTTGCCCTCTCCCTCGACGGCGTCGATAAAGTTGGAGATCTCGGAGAAGAACGGGTCGTCGTCCGTGAATGCGTGGCGCTCCTCGTGGTCGTCTCCGGGCCTGCGGATCACGAGCGTCGGCGCATTGTAAGGGTCGACGAGGTGCATGTGGTACCCGTCTGCCCAGACCTCGAGCTCGCAGTCGTACGCCGTGCCGTGGATCGCGACTGTGTGCATGAACGAGCCGACTGCGCCGTTGTCATACTTCCACACAGCGGCCGAGATGCGCGGGATACGCTGGTCCTCGGGCACGATCGACTCGTCGACGGGAATACGCGAGAGCACGCCGGGCTTCTCGTACCACTCGACCGAGTGCGCCTTTACGCTGTCCAGGTCCACGTCGCCGCCAAAGTAGCGCGACAGGTCACAGAAGTGCGTGCCCTGCTCGATGACGGGGCCCTGGTCGAAGGCCTTGTTCCACCACGCCGGCTTGGCGATGGAGGGGTACGCGGCAGACTGGGGTCAGTGGGGCTCGGCGCTGCCACACTCACGTAGCGCGCGTTCGTGGCCATGACGGTCAGCCTGTTGTCGTGGATGATCTGCTTCATCTTCTGCACCGCGCGGAGGTAGCGGAGCATGTATCCGACCGAGATGATGTTGCCGTTCTTCTTGAGCGCCTGGACGACATCGTTGACCTCCGAGAGGGGTGCAGTGGAAACGGGCTGGGCGTTAGTTTTGCCCTTCCGATATCCTCCTAGGTAGGGGCACTCACCTTCTCGATAAAGTACGCCACGTTGGGGAAGTACTTGATCATCTGGAGCTCGAGGTCGTTGTGGCCCGGCTCGGCGCCGCCACGGAACTTGGGCGGGGTGCCGACAAAGAACGCGCGGGGGTCGGGGAGGCCCGCCTCGGTCTTCTTGTTGTAGTAGTCGTCCAGGCTCGAGTACACGACCGCGCCCTCGTATGCCGGCTTCACGAACGACTCGCACTTCTTCCTGAGCACACGCTCGGCGCGGGCGGTGTCGGGGTCAATCACGCCGACGACGCGGAGACGCGGTCCGAGCTTGTGTTCGATACGGAAGGTGTGGTTCCAAGGGCCCTGGTCAGAGCCGAACATGATGTTCTGGGATTAGCGGAGCACGCGAAGCGGCATAGTCGCCTGGTCGGCTCAGTGTAGCGAGCAACAGGCAGTCGATACCGGCCACACCACTATGGGATACTCACACCAGCACCGATCAGCACGACGGGGAACTCGCCTCCGGGCTCGGGACCCTTGAACCTGTCCGTCAGCTGCTGCTACTGCCCCTACTGCTGCGTCGCTCATCGGTCGGAGGTCGGTGGTGCAGCGTATCGCTTGGCGCCTCCGTCATGCTCAGAGCGCCGCACGCCCCCAGGAGAAACAATAGGCACCGAGCTCAGGCCAGGAACACGACCCAGCAGAGTGACCGAGGTGACCGAGCCCACGTTCTCCAATCGACCGAGCCGTGTTTGCATTATTCCGAGCCAAAAGGCACGGAAAAGTTCAAAGATTCCACGATGCACGATCTGCTGCTGTCGCTTGTGGTCGATGGCGCTGGGCACGGTTACGCCATTCGGGGTGCTATCGCTGAATCCGTTGGGCAGGACTCGGGAACGTGATAGTAGTCGATACTGGGGAAGCAGGAGGTGCTAGGGGAGCTCTTCCGGTGCCCCAGATGCTCATGAAGATAGTCTTGGGGAGTGTACTCACTGGTCCATGCGGATCGACTTGTCAACGTTGATGCCGTGGTGGGGGATATCCTCGGGCCCACCGTCGTTGACGCGCTTACTGCTGTCGAGCAGGCGGTACATGCTCGAGTGAATAGAGCGTGTGGCCGCGGGACGGAGCGCCTTGAAGGCCCCATTGCGGGCACGGAGCATGGACGACTGGACAAACATGATTCCAAGATCGACGGGCGAGATAAAGGGGGGCGTTGCTGATCAGATAGAGGAGAGGGAATCGCCGATACACACAAGTCCAAGTGTGTATGCAGTTGCAGCGATGAGCGATAGATAAGAAAGAGGACAAAAGGACAATCGTGCATATGTACGCCGCGCGCCGTACTGGCAGCTGGCAGCTGGCAATGTTGACGTGATTCTCATCACGGCCCTTGCTCCTTCCAGGCCAGCCAGCCTCAGCCGAAGAGCCGCTTGCTCTCACACCAAGGCTGCGGGCATCGCCAGCCGCCGCGCTTGCTTGCGCTGCACCGAGGATCCGAGGAGCCAGTCGCAGGCAAAAGCGATGGCTTGCGGTCCGAGGCTCCTTGCCTTGCCCGCGGGCAGCGATCGGCGTCTACGCTGTCAACAAAGTGCTGGAATGGTTAGGGCTGGCGTACACTGGAGACTAAATCGGGAACCGATATGACGTCGCCCCTCGCCTGGGGTGTTGGGGATGACGCAACACTCCCCGATTAGAAAGCACCCTGTAGCACACCTGCACACTTTGGAATGCGGTCCGTGCCGGACACGTCCGCCCGCAGCACAAGGCTGTCCGACACAACGTCCGACACACGCAGATCCCTGCTTTGTCGGGGGCGGCGAGACACGATTAGAAAGACGTAACTCGCAGATGGCTCCGGTTCTGCGGATGTAAGAGAAGGTAAGACCCCGAGGACCCCGAAATCCCTGCACCCACGCGCCGTCCTCTATATTTTACCGCAGAGTGGGGGCGCAACACTCCGCAGAGCATCGAGTACTGCGTAGTTGTCTACGAAGCTGCAGGCGGGCGGCTCAATGCAAGGAGTTTCGCTTACAGTGCCGACGTCGCCAGCGACAAGTCAGTCGCTCTGGGCGACCGAGACTGCGCCCGTCGGGTTCGGTGACTATCCACGCCCCTTCTGCACCAATCACGCTCGACCTCTTATCAGATCTTTGGCTGCATAGACTCTCTGCATCGTACACTCGCACTCTGCTCTGCTTTTTTGATTCTACTCTACACGATCCCCAAAAGCTGCAAACCTGCACAGCTTCGAACTGGCACAGATTCCTGAAGAAAGCAGAAGAAGCACACAGAGCCTGCTTCGCTTATGCAGGGTATCCTTGTGGTACTGAGGCATCCGAGTTGCTGCAGGGTGGACCCAGGCTCTGCCAGTGCTGAGCTCGGAGGCAACTGAGACCAGCGCAAGCGACAGAACTGGAGCCCAGACCAAATACACTTACCTTTGCGAGACCTGTTCGTTAGTATTGCCGGAAAAGAGATGGTTCGTTAGATCATGGCTGAATGTTTCGGGAAACGAGCGCGCTGAGTTGGAAGCGCGATAATGTCGGGGTTTGTGAGCGTGAGCCGTGCAGTCGAGCGACGGGTGGCGGTGGTGGTAGGGGTAGTTTGGATAGATGATGATGGATGGCTGACGGCCACGCAGCAATGGCAAGCGGAGGCTGGCAAGGGACTGCGCCGCAGCTGTTGGCTTTGGTGAGGGGGAGGCGGATGACAGTGTGGAGAAAGGGAGACATAGGCGGCCTCTCAATGCCATGGAGCGCAAACTGGCCTTGCGCAGATTATCGCTCACGCTGCCTCGTTAGCTCCATCATCAGGATAATCCGAGCTTACCATCAAGTCTCGGCATCTTGGCAGCCGCCCCATCCTCGCCCTCCTCCTCGATCTCGAGGCTGCGCTTCTTGCTCGGGCTCTCGTCGCTGTCGGCCGTGAGGTCCACGACCTCGGGGCCAGCTTCGCTGCCCTCGATCGTCGAGGCATTGGCGGTATCGCCCTCTTCGGCCTCTTCGACCTCTTCGCCCTCAGCGTCGAGCTCGTCCTCCTCTTCTGCATGCTCGGATTCGCCGTTCGCGTCATGGGCTGGCTCAGCTTCTGGATGTCAGTTGCAGAACAGGAAGAATGGAACTCACCATGCTCACTGTCCCGCAGTGCCGCTTCGGCGACGGCATCTAACCCATACTCGTCGCCGTCGCCTTCGTCCTCGTCTTCGTCGTACTCCCCATCTTCGTCTTCGTCGTACTCCCCATCTTCGTCTTCGTACTCGCCCTCGGCGTCTTCTTCACCCTCTTCACTCTCTTCACCCTCGGGGACTTCCTCGCCTTCCCCGTCCTCTTCGTACTCGGCGTCTTCTTCGTACTCGCCCTCTTCGGCATCCCCGCCTTCATGACCTTCAGCCACCTCGCCGTCCTCGTGCTGAGCCTCGGCGTCATCGTCGAGTTCGTCGACTTCGCCGCCATCGGCACCACCATCACCCTCAGTGGCCGGGGCCTCGGCCTTGTCGGTCGACTCCGTGGCGGGTTCCGCGGCGGCAGCCTCAGGTTCAGCATCAGCACCATCGTGCCCAGCACCCTCTTCATTTGAGGGCTCCTCGGCGACGGGTTCTCCAGCATCAGCGGGCAGGGTCTCCTCGGGTTCTTCTTCGCCTTCGGGGTTCTCGCCCTCTTCGGGGTGCTCGTCGGCATCGGCGGGTTGTTCAGTCGACTCGGCGTGCTCGGGCTGTTCTTCCGGCTCGTCTTCGCCGAGCTCGTCGACCTCGCCGTCCTCGCCGCCCTCAGCTTCGGCGGCGGGACCCTCAGGCTCGGCTCCTTCAGCGCCTTCCTTGTGGTCGGCCGCCTCAACGTCGACCTCGGGAGCTGGCTCGTCGCCTTCACCGGTCGCGGTCTCAGCCTCAGCATCGCCTTCACCGCCCTCATGGTCGGCTTCAGGCTCTGCGTGCTCCTCAGCGTCCGCCTCAACGCGGGACTCGCCTTCTTCCGGCTCAGCCTCCTCGATGACGGTGCTGAGGTTGGCGCGCTGCTCCGGCTCCTCAGCCCACTCCTCATACTCCTCCGCGTCCTCTCCGGCCTCCTCGGACGCACGCTCGATTTCGCGCTTGATCGCCTCGAACCGCGTGATGAAGCGGTGCGGCTGCACCTCGACGAAGAGCGCGACGGGGATCGGCAGCCCGCACCCCTCGTGCACGGCGAGGAGGTCGACGAGCGAGATGTTTTGCAGATTCACGTCGTCCTGAATGTCAGCTCCGGCAGACGACCAGTAGCTTACCTCGCCCATCTTCAGGTCCATTAGTCGCTCGACGACGACCATCTCGCCATCGAGCTCCTCGCCCCACTTCTCGAGCTCTAAGCGCAGCTCATAGAACAAGTCTAGGAGCGAGAGGTTGATGAACTCCTCCTCCTTGTCGGCGCAGAGCACGGGCAGGTCGTCCCCGCCCTCGGGGTCGTTCTGGAACAGAGCGTAGATCTTGCCGGACGGTGTCGTCACGTTGATGGGCGCTGGAGGCTCGAGCTCGTCGTATTCTTCCTCGTCTTGGCCCTCCCCATCGCCGTGGGATGACTCGCCCTCTTGCTCCTGCGCACCTTCGGGGGCATCGTCATCCGCGTCATCGTGAGCTGGTGGTTCATCATTGCTGTGTTCCGTGCCATCGACAGGTGCGCTGGTGTCCGCTACAGCCGCAGATTCGGGCGCAGTCGTGACAGGGGCGGGCGTCTCGGCTGTGATCTCGACATCATCGTCTTCTTGCTCCTCTCCGGTCGCATCGATCTCGACCTCTTCAGTCTCTGGTTCAAGCTCAGCCTCGGCCTCCATCTCTGCGTCGTGTTCTCCTTCCTCCCCTCCGTCCTCTTCATACTCTACTTCCGCGTCCTCATCGTAAACCTCAGCAGCAGGAGCGTCCGCGTCGTCGACGTCGATTTCCTGTCCTTCTTCCGGTTGGTCTATTGAGAAGTCGCCGTCTTCAAAGGTCACGTCGCCGTCGGCTGTCTCCTCGGCGGCTTTGTAATCGGGGTCGACCTCCATACTCGATGCAGTTGAAGGATGCTAACGTGCACCGCGTTGAATGGCTTGCTGCTCGTTGTGTTGATTACGTGTCGAAACGTGCGTGCTGGGATGCGATTGGGATATCGAATGCAGATGTCGCGGCTCGGCTTCAAGCTGATTTTGGTATTGGCAGCGTATCAGATGCTAGCTTGATTCGTGAATGGAGTAACAATGTTGATGAGATGCGAAGTTGAGGTGTGGTTGGCTTCGGATTTCCCTTGAACGGACGGAAGTATCTCGCCGCGAAGTTGACATTTGCCACCCACTTACGGCGTCGCGACTGTCTATGTGAGGGCACCAAGTGTCTCAGGCACAGTGGCGAACGCGGTTGCTGATGACAGTCATGCGAACGTTCCAGCCTCACTGCTCGAATGCAACAGCGTCAACATGATACTCAAAGCTGCATATACTGCGGATCAACCTGCCAGCGTGACAACACAGCCAGTCACACGAGGACTCGGGATATATAACGGACACAGTAAAAAGGTAGTGATAGAGTACGACCCCTAAATGGAAAAGAGAGAAATGAAGGGAACAAATGACCCATGCCGCAAGCCGGAGAGGACGTTGGCAGCAATGTGTTCATCCAACGGTCTCGGCGGAGAGGGCTGGGTGGGAATGATTGTTCTGTGCGATGATGAAGGGTGGATTGATGCTTTCAGTGTCGATGCGGCAGAGCTGAATCGGCGGCTTAGTCGAAGCCAGAGGCGTACGAGGAGCCGAGGGGAGTGATGTAGCCGTTCGAGCTCATCAGGGCGTTGTTGGGGTTGACGTTCTGCATGTTCTGCATGACACCGAAGGGAGCGTAGCGCTGGATCCAGTCTTGCTGGTCCATCCACTTGCTCATCTCCGAGTGCATGTACCAGATGGCACCGTCGTCGCACTGGGCACCGTTGTTGAAGTTCTGGCACGCGTACTCGGTGACCCAGAGGGGCTTGTTGACCTGGTTGTGGAAGTTGATCAGGTACTGCTTGAAGTGCTCGACGTCGACATCGTAGTAGTGGACAGGGGCGAAGTCAGCAGTGCACTCCCAGTCGGCGTGACCCTGCTCAACACAGGCCTGGTGGAAGCGCTTGACCCACTCAACTCCGTCAGGAGCAGAGGTGGGGGCGGCACCACCGAGCTTGATGCCCTTGTTGTTACGGAGAGGAAGGAACTTCTCAATCCAGATCCAGACAGAGTCCTCGGGCGAGATGGCCGACTGGTCGTGCTGGTTGGGCTCGTTGAAGAAGAGAGCGTTGGCGACGAGGGCGCCATCGAAGTTCTTGTTGCAGTTCTCGTCCCACGATCCATCGTCGATCTTGTCCTTGCCCCAGAGCATTGGGACGAACTCGAGACCAGCCTCGTCGGCGGACCTGACGCGGTACGACGACCAGGTGTAGTACCACGACGACTTGGAACCAATGTAGTTGGTGATGTACTGCTGGTCATTAGGTCCCCAGTAGTCACCGTTGGGCCAAGCAATACCGAGCTTGGAGCCAGTGTTCTTCCAGCCGGCAGTGGCGCAACCAGTCGAGGTGGAACCGATCTGGGGAGGAGCGGCGGAGGCCTGCGGGGGAGCCTCAGCAGAGGCCGACTGCTGCGGCTCCTGCTGCTGCTGGCCCTGGTCCTGCTGCTGCTGCTGGTCCTGGCCCTGCTGCTGGTCCTGACCCTGCTGCTGCTGGCTCTGGTCCTGCTGCTGCTGGTCCTGACCCTGCTGCTGCTGGTCGGCGGACTGGGTAGAGGTGGGCTGCGAGAGCGAAGGGGCAGCAGGCGAGGGGCGGACCTTGCACTTGCGTCCGTCGGGAAGGGTGGAGATCTGAGGAGCATCACGCTTCACCTTGGAGCTGCGAGGAAGGTGAGCGTTGTAGTTGCGCTCGACCTGCTTGACATGGCGAGCATGGGCGGCGCGACGCTGAACACCACCCTGGTGCTTGGCGGCAACCTGTGTATGGTCAGGGATTGTGTTCTGTTTTCGGTATTGGTGAAACGAGGGTGGATCCTAATTAACGCCCTGGGACGGCACAGACCAAAGAGGGAAGATACATGTGCCGCCTTCCTTGGCGAAAAACGTCCATGCACACGCATGTCGCGCCCCAATGATTGGATCTGCGCAGCACACAGCATGGGTTGTCTGTTGACTGAAGCAATCGAACGGGGGCTCAGTGACGTTTCGACGCAAGAGTCCGTCGACCGACCAGGGAAGGGTCCGAGGAGGGCCGGTAGCCTCGATCGGGCGGGCGGCTGGCACAGGGGGCGATTACCGAGGATGGTTGCTGAACACTTACCGGAGTGGCCTCGAGAGCGAGACCCGCGAGGGCGAGGTAGGGGAGGACGGTAGCGAGGTTGGCGAACATGACGGGGATGAGTTACGTTGCGGTTGACCTGGCTAGGCGATAGAGGTATTAGTGATGGGTGTGTTGGGATGTCGATGGGGGTGACTGGCGTTCAAGATAAAAGCGACGTTAATGAGAGAGTGTGGGTAGTTGAGCGATCGTGAGGGGTAAGGGATGGCGACAAGGCAGAGATCAACTCTGTTGCGAGTCTGGCGGGGTCGGGAGATTAAGAGGAGAGAAGGTGGTCGAGAGAAATTAGAGATGGTGAGGAAGCAAGAAGAGGAGAGAGGAACGAGAGGGAGGATCCGTGGACGAGGGAGTGTGGCCCGGGGGGAAGGGACCAGGGGGGTGAAGCACTGGCAGTGGTGTATGGAGTGTCGTGTTGGGCTGATGGATCGAAGCGCCTGGGTCCTGAGGACGCATACGAGGGGGTGTGTCCGTCGTTTGGCAGACTGGGACGTCGGATGAGCCAGTCGACCACAGCCAAGCCGTTCTTCACTGGGCAATCCAAGGGAACGGCCCATTCGGAACCCTGTGTCCCTTGCACTCCGGTCCCCCGGCAGCGGCGACACGCCAGAGGCAGCGAGGCAGCGGCCCAGCCGGCCCAGGGGGGGCCCAAGCGTCACCACCGCGATGCAATCGCACCCTCTCACCTCATGGTCCTGGTGGTCCTGGCTTGTCCTGGGCCATCCGGGGGCATCGCGTTAGCTTGGCTCGACAGGGAATGGGTCATTTCGTCTGGAGCTCTTGAGCCGTAGCGTCGCGCGCCAGGCGTGGGCGTAATCCACGACCGCCCATGTTCCAATAGGCACCTCGGAACAACACTATTTCTCCATTAACCTTCCTGTTTGATGACTCTTTGTAACGTCAGACCCTGAGTGTGCAAGGGTCAACGGCACGGCGGCTTGTTCAAACTCCTGCATGCCATGCCTGGTTTGCGCCAGCCTACGCGTCCGATGCATTTGGGAACAACAGAGGCCAACACCGGGGTCTTCCGTGCATAGGTGCGGCCAACCAGATGCGGGCGGCGGGCGTAGATGCGGCGCACAAGACGCCCGGTGCACAGGCTCCTCCGGACTGCTGGCTTGTAGAAAAAGACGCGCACACACAAGAGGTAAGGCCCAAAAGCCGGGAGAGCGGGAAGGGCGCGAGGGGTCAGACGCGTCTATTGTGGCCTGCGACCCTGAGCGTGATCATCCCATGTCCCATGCACGCTGCCGCTTGCGGCAAGCGGCAGCCCCGAGCAGCCCCCCTCTTGTTCATTTCGCTCGCTTGATCACACTAGCACCGTAGGCACCGTACCGTAGGACCCCAGTCCGGCCAGTCTGGGCGACAGAGCACTGCAGCAAAGGCATGAATAATCACATCAAGGCTCTGGCTCAGGCCCGGTGCCGCCGAGCCGCCGTTGACCCATGTTACAGGTTGGGTTTGTTCCGGGACATGGCGACGAGCGCGCCGAGCTTGTCCGTTGCGACTCTGGCTGGCGGTTTTACGCTCAACGTTTAGGCTCGGCAGCCGGACATGCAGTCATGCAAGCTCGCATGCACTCTTCGTTTCATGTAGAGAAGGCCTTGCGACGCTTTCGTGCCAGTATACCAGCAGACTGGCACGGAATGCTGCCAATGTCCTTATCCAGTCCATACTTTAGGGACACGCCATTGCGCACGGCCATCGAGCATCGAGCGGACTCTGGCGGACGGCGCTACTGACGCCCCCCCCC